GTATCAAAGCTTGCAGGAAAGAAGCAGAATGCTCTTCGTGTCGCTGGGATTCCAGGCGCCATGGAATCAATCTCATCCCTACTCTTCAGAGGCAAAATGTGGCCATCAAGGCCCGACGAAGTAACCCATAGAAGCACCATTGCAGACCAAGAAGGTTACGATTTCACGACGTTCAATCTTTTAGGCCTCCTTATACTCAAGAAGCTTGCAAATGACCATGACAACTGTGGAAAGATCGGCAACACCAGAGGCCTGCTGGCAGAGATAATAGATTTTACAAGCATCAATGCAAGATTGTGCCGAATGCAATGTGCATCCAGTGCGCAGATACAAGCAGTAAAGAGATCACTCCAAGTAGTAAAGATGCTAGCAAGCACAACAGGCAATACTGGGAGAGTGTTAAGACAAGAAATTTCAGAGATTGTATTTACAGTCAGCAACATACGGGAAATCTTACAGTATGCACAGAATCACATGATACTTCAGAAACTGGGGATCGAGGTGCTAACAAGTTTGGCGATGGATGAGGAAGCAAGAGAGAAGATTGGATCTACAGGAGGGATGATCAAGGAGCTGCTTAGGTTATTCCTCAGCGAACATTCCGCTTCACAACAACAGGTTGAGCTGAGAGTGGAAGCAGGAGAAGCATTGGCAATGCTGGCACTAGAGAATGCGCGAAACTGCGACAGAATTCTGAAAATACAGCAAGTTGTGGAGAGACTGGTCACTTCTCTTACTGACACTGCTGTAAGAATCAGTTCTTTCAGGATCTTGAAGAACTTGTGTGCTTTCAATGGAGCTGCTTGTGTTTCTCGGTTGAGGGGTGTCACTGCTGCTATCCCTATCGTAAGATTTCTCCCTGAATTACTAGTTTAAAACTTGCAAGTCAAAATAAAACAAATAGAACTCCTAACTATACTATAATCTTTCTCAGGTATTGAATACAATCATGGGTGAAGAGATGAAGTTGCTGGAAGTTTCACTTGGTCTCGCAACTCAGATCTTCAGGTTCATAAACTACAATGAATATGCTCAAGAACTGAAGGCAGCATGCATCCAAGAGGTCCAATTCGCATATAGACTCGTGCAAATGCTGAAAGTGTACAATTACCCATCAATAAAAGTTCCAAGAATCAGGATGTTTCTGATCGAGCTAGCAATTTGGCTGATGATTTCCGATAAAAAGTACATGAAGTTCTTTAATGATTTTGAGATGGATATTGAGCTTCAGAATGTTGCAGAAACCATGTCAGAGCTTGAATGCTTCAATGCATTTTCAGGCAGTGTGGGTCTGAGTCGTCACGGCAAACCTCTTAACTCTCTTATTGAGACTGCGCTCGAACTGATAAATGAAGGTTAAAATCAATACAACCATCATTTCTACATAATAAAAAGATTTGTCGGCTGAAAGCATTTATTTGTGTACATTAAATAAGGATTTATGGCTGAAGCCTAATGATTCATGCACAACCAAAGCAAGTGTTGTAGCACGATATTCATTTGTTTGTTGCTCCAATAAATTCCCAACATCTTAAACATAAGTTTATACATTTCTTTCAAAAGAATGAATTGAGGTCTTTGCTTAATCAAGCCTTCTTTTACTCCCGATACAACCCTAAATTTTCCTGGACATGACCTGCAGATGAAATTACTCAAAGAACTTCAATTTCTTGTTTGCTTTGTTTCTGCTTTATGTATAACTTAATTTAATTTAATTATTTTAATTTTAATCATTGAACCTAGGGATGTAGTTAAGCTCTATATCTCGTCTCTTGTCAGCTATTCTGCTTATGGTTTCTTCCTCAACAAAAGTTAGAATATCCTATTTCTCATAATCCCCAGCAACCATACTAAACTTCCATTATGTTGAGTACTACCATAAACAAATGAAGACAGGTATTTGCATGGAGGTATTTTCCATAGTACTGCTACCTTGACATAAAGCTTTGCCTTCCGCATTCTAGAAGTTCACGGCCTTTAGGCAAGACCACGAGGATCATAGCTTCCCCAGGATGAAAATTGCGCCAAAGTTTCCATATCAATATCCTCATCAAGTTGTGCTAAAATTGGTTCACCCACGTTTCCACACCAGGATCTCTTAAAAATTTCCCTCCAATTTTAAATTTCAAATTTAATCGAGTTCTTCAAAACTCCTCCAGGCTGTCTTCTAAAGGATCATTTTGAGTTCGTCTCCAACAGTGATTTGCTTCACCATAATGATCCAGTCTAATCCACCCTATTCTGATTTAGCTTAGCATAACTAAAACTCTTAAGTTAGTCAGACGGCTTTAGGTTCTAACTGAGCCTGCACTTTAGTCGTTTTCTCTTGGTTCCTGGATGAATTTGAAATTGACCGCTACTTAGGGACCCAGTCTCAAGTCACCTTCTAGGTTGAAATGGTTGCTCTATTTTATCCTATTAGATAACAAACTCAAAAGAACAAAACGTTAAGGTGTCATATGAAAGAAATCCACTATACATTCTTGGATTGGAGGCGCTTGAATGACATCAACATCTCAGATGATTCCTGCAAGTAGTATTTCATATGATTCAGGCAGATCTCACCCTCTTCTAACAAGATGTGAATAACTGTACCTTTACCCAAGCTTCATCTCCACCATCATGCTCTCAAAACCTTTGAACTCTCTCAAGAATCCCGCTACACTTGAGAACATATAGAAAGCTCCAGAGGAAAGGTGGAAGACAAAAAAGTTAAGCTCAAGAGTATATATTTTCACCTAATCATAGTTTGTCATATCAGACCCTCAAATCTTTGTTAAATTCTATGTTAGATGCTCAAATCTTTATCTTTCTAAATTAGACACCTAATTCTTCATATTTATTTGAAATGGGGGTCTTATTTAAACTACTTAAAAGATTTAAGTTTCTTATTTAAGAGAATTTAATGTATTTGAGGGTCTAAATTAGAAATATGAAGATGTGGAAGTCTAACATCAAAGATTTGGGGGTCTAATATGACAAAAACCCAACATTTAAAGGCCAAAAGGTTTTGTAACTTCTTCATGGGTAAATTGCAAAGTAGCACTTAACGCCCTTCAACTATTTTATTGGCATTTAACACCCCTAAAATCATGAGGGACGGAGTTATCTATAATTCATTTTTGTAAAAGTATGAATTCAGGGGTGTTAAGTGCTAATAAAATAGTTGAAGGATGATAAGTGTTATTGAATACATAGATGAAGGGTATCTTGTTGAAAAGAAGATTACGTTTGTTAGAAGAAAATCAAGGAACAGATTAGATATTTGTAGATATTTGTAGTTTGTTTAATTTGTTACTGTTTGTTTAGTTTGTTACTGAATTAGTTGTTAGTTCCTATCTTAGTGGGCTGACATACTTCTATATATAGCCCTTCATGTAAACGATGAAATAGAGTGAAATGAATTATTCAATTCCTTCTTTATTCTTCAAGATGGTATCAGAGCAGGAATATTGTTCCGCTCATTAGAATTCTTTTTTTTTTCTGGACTTATTCCAGCAACCCCTCCTTATCCTCACCTATAACCATGTCAGATATATCTTCAGAAACCACAAATCCTCCCTCACAAGAAAACCGACTCCCTGGTCATGAATCTCATTCCTTCCAGATCACCAGTATTCGCCTTAATGGCGATAATTTCTTACGGTGGTCAATGTCCATACGAATGGCGATTCGAGGAAGAGGCAAGATCGGCTACCTGACTGGAGACAAGAAGGCTCCCGCAATTGAAGAGGCGACGTATGCGACCTGGGATGCAGAAAATTCAATGGTGATGGCGTGGCTCGTCAACTCCATGAATGAAGACATCGCCTCTAATTACATGAACTACCCGACTGCGTGGGAGCTTTGGGACAGCATTCATCAGATGTACTCTGATCTAGGTAATCAATCGCAAGTGTATGAGCTGCAGCTCCAACTTGGAGAGATCCGACAGAAAGACGACACTGTCACCAAGTATTTTCACATGCTCAAGAGACTTTGGCAGGATCTCGACATGTTCAACAACTATGAGTGGAAATCGCCAGACGACTACAAGCACCATCGAAAGATGGTGGAGAATGATCGGATCTTTAAATTCCTTGTAGGTTTGAAGGTAGAACTCGACGAAGTGCGAGGTAGAATTATTGGGCGTGGGTCATTTCCTTCACTCGAGGAAGTATTTGCTGAAGTAAGGCGAGAAGAGAGTCGTCGCAATGTTATGATGGGAAAGAAGGAAGCAGTAGCACCGATGGAAAATTCTGCCCTACTTACTGCCGAGGCCAATGTGAGCAGAAATCAAAATTCTCAGCGACGTGGAGATGAAAAACCGAGAATTTGGTGCGATTTCTGCAACAAACCCCGACATACTCGCGAGACGTGTTGGAAGATCCATGGAAAACCAGCAAATTGGAAGAGTGGCAAGCCTGGAGAGAAGTTTCAGCGTCCAACAGCAGCCGCAAATGAAGCAAACTCCAACACCAGTCCTTTCAACAAAGAACAGATGAATCTCCTTCTAAAGCTGCTGAAATCCAATTCCGAATCTGGTATTCCTAGTAGTTCCTTGGCTCAAACAGGTAGGAACCCTTGTGCTCTCTCGTGTCATTCCAATTCTATTCCAATTCTACACCATGGATCATTGATTCAGGTGCTTCTGACCATATGATAAATCTGTCAAAAGTTTTCCACTCTTATTCACCATGTTACAGCAATAGAAAAGTCCGAGTAGCCGATGGGAGATTCTCCTCTATAGCAGGAACAGGAGATATAAAAATCTCAAATACTATCACTCTTAAATCTGTTCTTCATGTTCCAAATTTTTCATGCAATCTCCTATCAGTAAGCCAACTTTCTAGAGATTCTAACTGTCGTGTCATATTCTTTGATTCTCATTGTGAATTTCAGGACCAGACTACGGGGACGATGATTGGCAGTGCTAAGATGGTGGATGGTCTCTATTTCTTTGATGATGACCAATTCGGCAATAAACAAGCTCAAGGACTCAGTTCCAGTATGAGTTCTCTTTCTGTTCATGAAAAAATAATGCTCTGGCATCTTAGATTAGGACACCCGAGTTTTCCCTATTTGAAGTATTTGTTTCCATCATTGTTTAAAAACATCGATTGTTCTTCATTTGAATGTGAAAGTTGTCATTTATCAAAAAGTCATCATACTACATATAAAGTTAAATCATATTGTGCATCAAAACCTTTTCATCTTGTTCATAGTGACGTTTGGGGACCATCAAGGGTGTCAACTTTATCCGGAAAAAAGTGGTTTGTAACTTTCATAGATGATCATACTAGGTTGTGTTGGGTGTATCTGATGAGCGAAAAATCTGAAGTGGAAAAAATATTCAAGAATTTCTTTTACATGATTGAAAACCAATTCCAAACACAAATACAAATTCTCCATTCTGACAATGGAACATAATATTTTAACGAAATGTTAGGAACCTTTCTTCAAGAAAAAGGAATTCAACATCATTCCACATGTAGTGATACCCCTCAGCAAAATGGCATAGCAGAAAGAAAAAATCGCCATCTCCTTGAAGTTGCTAGAGCCATCATGTTTTCCATGCATGTACCAAAATATTTGTGGGGAGACGCAATCTTGACAGCCTCGTATCTGATTAATAGAATGCCAACTCGTGTATTAAAATACACCACACCGTTTGAGAGTCTAAGAAAAATATTCCCAAACTATAGACTAGCTTCGGACCTTCCTCTGCGAATATTTGGTTGCACTGTATATGTTCATCTACCTAATAGACTTCGATCCAAACTCGATCCTAGAGCTGAAAAATGTATTTTTTTAGGATATGCTCCAAATAAAAGAGGATATAAATGCTATAACCCTCGGTCCAAAAAATTCTTCGTGAGCATGGATGTCTCATTTGTAGAGAATCAAGCTTACTTCCGCCAAAACTGCCTTCAGGGGGAGATTGAGAGTGAAACCCAGTTTTGGGAAATTGATCCATTACCTATACCTCCATTGCCTATACCTTCTCTGTCTCTTGAAAATGACCAGAATCCTCCAATTCAACCAAGTTCAAAAAACACAAAAAACCTAGTCGATGACTCACTTCAGCCGAGCTTAAAAAATACTTGTTCAGGGGGAGAAATACAGGAGAAAAACACTCAGCCTGAGCTTCTTGTGTACACCAGAAGAGGGACTCAAAGAAATAGTGGTCTTCCAACATCTTCAACACTAGGCCGACCCTCATCTCCGTCGGATGGATCACTCCATGACTCAAGTAAGTCTAACTTTTTCTCTCCCGAGCTAAATCCATCTTTACCACCAGAAATTACTCCATCTATACCAGATCTTGAAGTACCCATAGCTCTTAGGAAAGGTGTCCGTAGCTGTACCAATCATCCTATTGCTAAGTACGTGTCATACCATAGATTGTCAAAAAATCACAAAGCGTATACCACAAAGATCTCCAACCTATTCATTCCAACCACTATCCAAGAAGCACTAACCAATCCAGATTGGAAATCAGCAGTTATAGAAGAGATGAATGCTCTAAGGAAGAATGGGACTTGGGATTTAGTAGATTTACCAAGGGAGAAAAAAACCGTAGGCTGCAAGTGGGTATTTACTGTGAAGTGTAGAGCTGATGGGAGTGTTGAAAGGTATAAAGCACGCTTAGTGGCCAAAGGATACACACAAACTCAAGGGATTGACTACCAAGAGACCTTCGCACCGGTTGCAAAAATCAATTCCATTCGTATTCTATTATCCCTAGCTGCAAACTTTGATTGGCCTCTACACCAATTAGATGTGAAAAATGCATTTCTAAACGGAGACCTAGAAGAGGAGGTGTTTATGAGTCTACCCCCGGGATTTGAAGAACAACTAGGGTGCAAGAAAGTCTGTAGGCTTCGGAAGTCGCTTTACGGTCTAAAACAATCGCCACGAGCATGGTTTGAACGATTTGGAAAAACTGTCAAAGGTTACGGGTACACTCAAAGTCAATCAGATCATACATTGTTCTACAAGCACTCAAAGGAAGGAAAGATATCAATCTTAATTGTTTACGTAGATGATATTATACTAACTGGTGATGATCATGTTGAGCAGGAAAGATTCAAAAGGTCTCTTGCTAAAGAATTTGAGATCAAGGACTTAGGACCTCTAAAGTTCTTCCTCGGAATGGAGTTTGCTCGATCTAAGAAGGGAATTTTTGTATCTCAGCGGAAATATGTGATGGACTTGCTGTCAGAAACAGGACTACTCGGTTGTAAGGCTGCTGAAACACCAATCGAACATAATGTGAAGCTTCAGCCAGCGAAACCTGAAGAAGTGAAAAACAGAGAACAATTTCAACGGCTGGTAGGAAGGTTAATTTACCTATCACATACACGTCCCGACATAGCCTTCGCAGTGAGTGTAGTAAGTCAGTTTATGCACTCACCAGGACCTGAACACTTTGAGACTGCTTACCGAATACTAAAGTACCTAAAAGGAACACCGGGAAGAGGACTAATGTTTGAGAAACGAAATCATCTGCAGATTGAAGTATATACGGATGCTGATTGGGCCGGGAGCTTGACTGATAGACGTTCGACATCGGGATATTGCACATTTGTAGGAGGAAATCTGGTTACATGGCGCAGCAAGAAGCAGAGTGTGGTGGCAAGAAGTAGTGCGGAAGCTGAGTTCAGATCGGTTGCTCATGGAATATGTGAGGTGCTATGGATAAAAAGGATTCTCGATGAACTAAAGATAGAAAGTCAAAACTCCGATAAAAACCTACTGTGATAACAAGGCAGCGATCTCAATAGCTCACAATCCAGTTCTTCATGATCGGACAAAGCATGTCGAAGTGGATAAGCATTTCATCAAGGAAAAAATCGAAGGAGGACAGATATGTATGATCTATGTTCCAACAGATGAGCAGGTTGCAGACATTCTAACAAATGGACTACCAAAAAAGCTGTTCGACAAGCTGACGAGCAAGCTGGCCATGGAAGACATCTTCCAACCAGCTTGAGGGGGAGTGTTGAAAAGAAGATTACGTTTGTTAGAAGAAAATCAAGGAACAGATTAGATATTTGTAGATATTTGTAGTTTGTTTAATTTGTTACTGTTTGTTTAGTTTGTTACTGAATTAGTTGTTAGTTCCTATCTTAGTGGGCTGACATACTTCTATATATAGCCCTTCATGTAAACGATGAAATAGAGTGAAATGAATTATTCAATTCCTTCTTTATTCTTCAAGATATCTGCATTTACTCCTCCTTAGTTGTGTATGAATGGATGATCATTTCTTGCAAGTTGCTTAGATACACGGTTTACAAGATCTTAAACACAGTAGGGTTTGCGTAAAATGGTTTTATAACAGTTGCATCAAGAAAAGTGACCTAGATTCATAATTTAGGATCAACAAACCATAATCTTATTCAACATGTTATTTAAACCCTTCATTTTGTAAGATGTTAAATTCATAGGTCAGGAACTAGCAAATCACATGCTTATTTAGTTTCAAACTACCAATTTTATACGACATTAGATCCATAGGTAAAGAATACCCAAACCACATGCTTTTTTCTTCTATCAAATAACTGGTGACTTCAGTGTGCTAATCAGAATAACAGTCTTTATTTTTCCCTTTACATATCCTTTGATATATTAAGTTGCTAGCCCTACTTCCTTCTCCCCTTTTAATCAAATTAAACATTTAATTTAGCATCTTCGTCTTTTTTAAATACTGTGGGAAATATATGTATGTAATGTATTGAATATGATGAAAAATCCTATTAACAGGGACCGATGAATGTGAAAGGCTGTCATTCCTATAAAGACATGGATCTTATTTTTGTGATATTTTGGTCGACTTGGAAGCATGGAGGAAATGAGGGAATTCTGGAGGAGCTAGCAACTGGCGTGCAAAAGACTAATTTCTATACAGCTTAGGATGATTAAGGCAGTACCTTCACCTTGAAGATTACCACCTTCCATCAAGTATAATGAATACTTTAACATTAGCATCAATGAATTCAAGAAGGATAGTTTTCAGGACCCTCCTGAACTTCAGACTTTAGAGTGGTTTGCACAGAACCATGAAGTTTAGAAATTAGAGAAACACCAACCCCCACCCCACCCCCACCCCCCACCCCCACCCCACTCCAAAAAAAACACTTTAAGGAGTTTTAAAAATGCCCCTGAACTTTCAAAAAGAAAGTTCGTCCAACTGAAATATCATTTCTTTAAAAGTAATGCCCCTCTTTCAACATAACATATACCCCCTCGAAACTTTTTTATTGTTTGTCAATTCTCTCTCCTCCCACAACCCCCGAAAATGGTCCAGTTCATGGGAATATTTTGAAACCCCCCAATAATTTTTTTTCCTTTTTTTATGGTGTTGTGGTGGGGGTTTTGTTGTGGGGTGTGGGTGTGTGGGAGTTCTCATGTTGGTGCTAATGATCCAAAGTTAATGGAGGTTTACTGAAATTTACCCTTAGAGAAATATTTCCCCTACACCAAGTTGGTAACCAGCTAAAACAGGAGAATGAAAGTCCGCCAGGCCCTACCAGAAAAAGTTGATCAAGCTTTATGACCACCTCCTCAAAGATCTAAAGACAAATGAGAACAAAATAAAGGAAAATAGAA